GCAATATAATACAACGTCTGTCATTGTGATTGTCTGCTAAATTTTATAAAACGCTCCCCAAATTGAAATATGGCTGAACATGCACAATGTATACTAACAAACCCCCGATTTACCGCAAACCCCGATTTACCGCGGCTGTTTCCTTTTTCCAAACTCCGCGGTAAATCGGGGTTTACTGTATCACAAAAAAACGTGATCTCGCAAAAAAAAACTCGAATTACATTCAACACAAATTGTTCATTGTCCATAATAGGCGTTATATTATATTATTATAGTGCCCTGCTGCTATAACCATCGTCATACTCCTGTGGTTGGAAAATTACGGCTTACCAAACTGCTAGTGCTAATGGATAGTAAGCTTTGTCATGCGAGGATAAACCTTGATATGTTTTTTTTTTCGGATTGTAATTTATTAGTATCACTGTCCAGTGCTTGATACTGCATGTGCTTGGTGAATATGAAGCTCACCCTATCCTTGCAGTCCACTAAAACTATAAGATTATGTGAATATAATTTTTGTCAAGTATGAAATCCTAAAATTCTGTCTTTTTTGCTGGCTAAAATTGGTCACGTGATTTACGAACCATTAATGAGGACCGATTTTCGGATTAATTTTGTGATCCCATGGCATGCACTAATAAATCATGACATAAGGAAACAACAAACCCTGGTTCAAACAAAATCAATATGAACTGATAGTGATATACATACTAATTAGGGAGGCGAAGATAGGAATTCCAAAAAACAAGTATGCGAGGGTCACGATTCTCAATCTTGTATTTGGTGGATAATACACTCCCCAACCTGTTTTTATTATAATTAGATAGAAGATACAATAAAATTTAAATATTATCATAAGATAGCTTCTTGAATAGTGGGAAAGAAGAAACAATCACGATTTTTCGAGATCTATAGATTCCAGCCTAACTGGAGCTGAAGTTTATAAAATTGTAAAAACAACCGAATAGTATTTTGACCAAGTTTTCATACCTACTGTGGACATAATGCTAGATGAGTACATGAACGAGTCTCCCCAAGACTTGGTGTTCCACGATTTCAACTCATAGTTTGCTAAGGAGCATTGTTTGTCAACAATTTGCTGCATCCTAGTGTAGTTTTCTTGAAGCTGTTTTTCAATGATGGCTTCATATTCGAACTCACTGAGTGTATCATGGAGTCCTATTTGGTTTCTTAAAGATTGTGCTCTTGGTTTGTCGCTCTTCAACCACTGAGGAATGTAAAATTAAAAAATACGTGAGCAATCAGAAGGTTAGAAGGTAGTGCAAGATTGTTTTGAGTAACAGCCGGCTATTGGTTAGAGGGCTGTTACGACAACGCTAATACCCATTTTCATTGCATTTCTAACAGCCAGCTAATTGCCACCTCTGCCAGCTATTTGTTTTTGAAAAATCCTAGCAGCCCTCTTATAGCCGGCTAATAGCCCTCTCATGCTATTTTGGGGGACAAATACCTAACAGCCAATAGCCCGATAGCCGGGTAATGGCTATTTTAATGGCATTTCTAAAAGCCACCTAACAGCCCTTTCCACCCACCTCGTCAGCTCTTTGTTTTAAGGAAAATACCAACAGCCCTCTAACAGCCGGCTAGAAGCTGACAATTACTTGTGTTTCGTTTTGGCTATTGTATCTATTTGCCGAATTTAAACTTTAAGGGGGGGGGGGGGGGGGGGTTCACCCTGATTTTTTTTGTGAAACTTGGTTTCGAGATAGCAGTTGAGCAACAAACTAGAACCAGTGACCGAACTTTTGAGGGGGTCCCGGACCCCAACCGCCAAACGGTGCCCGCGGGGCAGCAACGCCCATATTTGGTCCAAATTAGGCCCAATTTAGCTGAATACCCTGAACATGCCCAAAAACCAGATTTTTTTCACCTAAACTCGTATATAAATTTTCATCAAGATTGGACAAAAAATGACTGAGTTATGACCATATTTGGGCATACGCACCAAATTTGATCGATTTTGGCCCATAAATTGGTCAAATATCAATATTTTTGAATGAAACCAACTTTATATGGAAAGTAAGCCTATACTACACATTCTCTATGATTATCAGCTCAGTATCTAACTAACTGTGGATTCTGTGTTCAAATAATCACAAAAAATGAACAAAATCGGCCTAACTCAAAATTCCAATACAAAACTTAAGGTCGAAATGCGATTCTACGTTGATTCTGAAAATTTCATGTAAAATATTGAAACCCTATTGAGTTCTATTGTTTTGAGCGAAATCAGTTTTGCAAATATCGCGAACTGAGATATAGGCGATTTTGTTCACTTTTTGCGATTATTTGAACACAGAATCCACAGTTAGTTAGATACTGAGCTGATAATCATAGAGAATGTGTAGTATAGGCTTACCTTCCATATAAAGTTGGTTTCATGCAAAAATATTGATATTTAGCCAATTTATGGGCCAAAATCGATCAAATTTGGTGGGTATGCCCAAATATGGCCATATGGTTTTTGGCTCATAACTCAGTCATTTTTTGTCCAATCTTAATGAAAATTCATATACGAGTTCAGGGGACCACTAGCTATAAGTAGAGCACCTCAATTCTTGATTTTGAGCATGTTCAGGGTATTCAGCTAAATTGGGCCTAATTTGGACCAAATATGGGCGTGGCTGCCCCGCGGGCACCGTTTGGCGGTTGGGGTCCGAGACCCCCTCAAAAGTTCGGTCACCAGTCCTAGTTTGTTGGTCAACTGCTATCTCGAAACCAAGTTTCACAAAAAAATCAGGGTGAACCCCCCCCCCCCCCCCCTTAAGTTGTCATCAATGAGTTACACAGTTAACTGAAATTTAATTGGTCGATCCTGTAAGCTGCAGATTATTTAATCGCTTTCGTGTGACAAAACAAGCTCGAACATACATGTTACATGTTCCAACCACCTTCCCAATATTACTTACGTCTATAATTATACTCTAGAAATAAATAATGATATTTTTATAAACGTATATTATTTTCTCGTGTAATAAACTCACCTTCGACAATCTTTCGCCAAAATCGTATCTTAGGCGGCAGTTTTCGAGATTTTTAAACTTGAGGTGGTTTCCCTCGATACCCATGAAGATGACGGAGGCAGCAAAGATAAACAAAATTAAGATGACCGTTTACAAGAAACTTTTGAACAATACCAACATATTCCCCTTTTCCTTATGCTCCCCGTCATCCTTCTCTGAGAGTGAGTCCTTCTCTGAGAGTGAGTCCTGCCTAATAACAACATCACCATTCTCGTCCGGCTTCATACCATCAACATCAATGTCTGGGGCCAGGGATAAGCTCTGAATTTTGTTGAGCTTATGCAGCCTCCACGGTTTACTCATGAGCCGATGTTCAGGAAACGATGATTAAGATTGATAATGAGCTAAACCAAAATAAAAAGGAACGCGACAAACTCACAATAATAATGTCTGACCGTTGTTCCAATATATGAAATATGAGAGCAAAAATTCTTCAAGTGCATAATTGAAATTGTCGAGTAGTGCTGCAGCTGAATATGTAAAAATTGGTCCAGAAGTAATACTGCCCACCTTTTAATAACTCATGTAATTCGTGCAAGAGTTACACAACAATTTCACAAATAGTAGATATGGGTTAAACTCAAATTTCCTGCCAGTTTCGTAAAATTTCATCGATTGCAGTAGGTGTTGCACACCACTCCTTATTTTAAGCTATGGTCGTCATAAAATGAAAACGCTTTGAGCTACAAACTCAAAATTTTCTAGACACAATTGGTATGAGTATGACAGAACATCTTGTCAACTTACCTGGGGACCCCAGGCTTCATAAAATAGAGATTCAGCGGAATGACAGGCTGAGCGCCGCCCAGTAACTTGCCAACAAATTCGCCCACAGAACCATCGGACTGCACCTGGGTACAGTGTACACACTGGCCTCCTAACCTCACAGTCACACTGTGCGACTTCTCATATGGGGTTGGGTGAAGGACCAACTCAACCAACGATCCCTATTGCAAACATACTGATAGTGATACTATTGGTAGGCCTATAATTGTGATTTATTGTTGCACACTAGCGACTAGCTATTGCCTATGACTACGAGTACGCGTACGAAATGATCGTTGATTGGGTGCCGAGACCACGTATCCGTCAGATTTTTAAATGGTCATGACTCGGCTAAATTTTAACTTTTTGAATATAAGCTTGAAATTCTGGGAAAGGTCAAACCAAATGTCAAAAAATTGTGAGTTGGTAGCTCAAAGTGTTTTAATTTTATGACGACTAAGTGAAAAATGAAAAAATAGAGTCAAGACTGGCGTGCCACATAACACAGCGATTGAGGAAATTACGGGAATCTACATGCTTGATGCTGCATGCTGCAGTGCAGCTTTGATAATTGGCGCATGCTTTTATGCAGGTTTGAGGTTAAAAACTATACCTTATTCAGTTTCAGTTTTTTATTTAAAATTTCGTAATGTTAAAGACTAAGGAGTGATGACAGACGACAGTTAAATTGACCAGGTTTGATAAATAAAGCTACAAATAATACCAGAAATAAATGCAAAAACAAAGCGAGAGAGAGAGATAAAGCCAGAAATTAGAGGCAAAGCTGATTAAATCAAATTGTAACTTGATCTTTGTCAATGTGAATATCTAAACTGGAATTATAGCCCTTACTATTTACAAGGCGACCGAATTATGGCTGATTCAGATAAAGCAGAAATTTCGACTCATTAAGAAAAAACCAAAATTACGGACTGAAGCCGTCTGGAATAAACTAAATACCAGCGCCAGAATTCTAACAGTAACATGTTCACTTGTCACATTACTGCCATTATTAAACGTAGACACTAGGTACTATAGTGACATATTTAATTTTAGTTTCTAAAACAATTGTCATGACTGGCGACAGACGACAGTTAGCTTGATAACATTATTCTATTATTAAATGTATAACCAAGTTCAATTATGAGAAACTAGGCGCCACAAATATACCCACAAATAAAGTATTAGCATCATTTATTGATAATAATGTATAACTTATAATAAAGCTTCTCGATATGAAGTATTGATAATAATGTATAGCTTAAATAAAGCTTATCAGTGTGACTGTAACATGATTATTATTTGTTAATGGGGAGACATGTTTGACGCTTGTGCTATCAATTATAATCCTCCATTTATGACTATGATAGATTATGCATAGAAAAATACTCATAAAATGTAATATATTCCTAATCGGCGTATATTTACAGTACAGATTGATTAAAACCGATTCAAAAAGTATAACGATAACACTGATGAGTAATCAGGAATGAGCAGCAATAACAGTACCTGCTCAATTAGAAATAAATCTGGAAATTGAAATTAACCATTTAAGTGTGAGAATATATTATTATTTATATATTGTAAAAATATTTGTCAAAAAACATGATGACAAAAATTATTGCTCCACATTTTGAGCTGAATTAACAATAGTAGAGAGTAAAATGCTTAGTTAATAAGGGCCGTCAATAAAAGGGCTGCGAAGGTACCTGTTGAATTATAATTCTTTGGACTATAGATGATGGGGAGGTGAAACATATTTTTCATTCGATCTGATGATACATTATCATGACAAACTTGCCCATACTTCCTTCGCACTGAAATTAAAAAGCAGATATAAACAAGTTTTTAAAGTTTCGCAAGGCATCAATACTACCGGGCCTTGCGAAACCTGAGATCCTAATAATAGATCCTCAGGTATAAGAGTATTAGTTAAACGACTACTTACATTATATTTAAGTTTTAAACGGTGGTTTAAGTATACACAATTTTACCAAAACCCATAATCATGGGTAGAGTGGACCGCTGTCAGTGTCTCTCTTTCCCAAACAAAAGGAAATGATATTACTTTGATTGACCGTTCTCAAATGCAAAATGATACCGAGAATGAAATCGGTCGCTCGCTTTTCCCATTCATTCACGGCTTACGAATTGTAATAAGTTTCGATTGATTACATCAATCAGATGCTGTAAAAATCTCTTTGGGTTGCGTTCGGGTCGATACCTAGTATTTCGGGGTAAGGGTGGTAGTTATTAGTATTACTTATTGAATTAGCTGAAGTTTATTGAATCTTCATTGCCGAGTACAGCTGCCTTTGGGTAGTTCTTCTTAATCTATTACAATTGTAAATGAATGGGAAAAGCGAGCGACCGATTTCATTCTCGGTATCATTTTGCATTTGAGAACGGTCAATCAAAGTAATATCATTTCCTTTTGTTTGGGAAAGAGAGACACTGACAGCGGTCCACTCTACCCATGATTATGGGTTTTGGTAAAATATCATCTCTTTTTGATTATAATGTCAGGGTACTTTATAAAGTCGAAATATAAACTGATATATTCATTAATAAGGAGGAAGTTTCAACTATTTCGAAATTTTTCCTTTAAAAACATTTCCTTGTGTTTAGGGAAGCATATCGTTCGATCACTGACTGAATATGCCACTTAATACTCATTCAAGTTGGCATTAAATTCATATATAATGACATTAAACTGTCGTGGCAAAGCAGAATTTGTTGGAAATCACGAATGAGCAAAATTTGAACCTTTCGCACGTGCAAACTTTGAGCAGACGTTGCGTGCGCATCCAATATTGAATCGCCGTAAATTTTTACATGTAATTGTTTTATATATAGCTTGATAAGCATGCAAAGTTTCAAAGTATTTCAAGAAGAACTGTAATCACAACGGCACTCTAAAGTTGACAGAAAATGACGAAAACAGCAATTTTCAGTGATTTTAGCGATTTTCTATCAATTTGGGCGTGTCCCAACGTGTGCAACTTTTCGATTTTCAACTTTAAAACTAGCCTAATGCACAATTTATACCTATAGGAAGCAGAACTGAGCTCCACAACCCAAGGCATGGCCCAACACCAGAGAATACTAAATCGCAAAATTGACGTTTTTATAAAATAATTCTTCAAAAAAGCACAAACTTCAATGACAAATATCTTTATGAAGGAGCAAGCTAGAAGAACTTTCCGGTAAATTTTTAGAATTTAATGAGGTCTGATCGTCATCTTCTTACAGCGTTCGATGTCTGTGTGAAGGTAAAATGGTGATATCCTCTGGATCAGGCAGAGGTTGAGTGTTATCGGGATTATTTCTTTAGTAGTGGAACAGCAATACTAAGGTAATGGGACTACTGCGGACCCTCTACCGGCCAAACCTTGTTAACAAAGCCGCAGTCAAGGTTCGGTGAACGGTAGTTAAAAGCGCTTAAGGGACATAAGTCATATTGGTAGAGCAAAATCATGTAGTGGACGTCTTAAGAAATGAGGAGTAGGTAGAATGTTAGGTTGCTCCTTTATAAATCGTCTTTTTCTCCGATAATAAGTTGACATCAAGTCTTGAAAATTATTCGAGAAGAATCTCGAATAATTTAGTTGCAGCGTGCCACATGGCTATCTAAACTGCAAACCCTACCCATTGCTGAGCAAGGCCTTTATCTTGAATAATTTTCAAGACTTGATGTCAACTTATTATCGGAGAAAAAGACGATTTATAAAGGAGCAACCTAACATTCTACCTACTCCTCATTTCTTAAGACGTCCACTACATGATTTTGCTCTACCAATATGACTTATGTCCCTTAAGCGCTTTTAACTACCGTTCACCGAACCTTGACTGCGGCTTTGTTAACAAGGTTTGGCCGGTAGAGGGTCCGCAGTAGTCCCATTACCTTAGTATTGCTGTTCCACTACTAAAAAAATTTTTAGAATGCTTAAACAATTATCTAAGATGAAAATTTCCTCAGATTTTGAATAAAATTACTCCTTAATGGTTTAAAATTAATTTTAAAAGTTATTACTTTGTCAAAAATCAAGTTTTAAAAACGGTTAACTTGATGACGTCATCAAGGGGTGTTTATGACGTCATATAATTTTTTATACAATGTAAACTAAAGTATAAACAATTATTTGCAAGACCTGTGGTCGGAAATGGCTGTATCTTTTATACTTTTGAATCTATGGACAATTAGATACAGGCTACAATTGACTGGCAAACGTCTATCCCTGAATATGTATATATATGTATAATATGGAATCAGTATATATATGTATAATATGGAATCAGCTTCCTTATCAATTGAGAACATTGACCGATATTGTCTTGTTTAAAAAGAGACTCATCTCTTTGAAAAAGTGTTCATATAAGTATCATATAATATCTTTCTCATACAAACCATACTTCATAAAATTCAAAGTTCTTATGTACATGTTCATGAGTCGCTTTAGATGGCTTGAACCGAATCTTTGGATTTTGAGTTCTTTTTGACTATAAAGCGATGTATAAATTTCTAGTTATTATTATTATTATCATATACCATTATATTACTATTAGTTCTACTAGCGACTCAAGATAAGTATAACTTGACCTCCTATTTCGTGTATAAATCTCTCTCCAATGTTCATAACTTGTCAGTTTACAGTTCTTTGACTACTAAATAATAGCTAGACGCAAATAAAGAAAATGCTGTTTCAAAATCTAGATGAAAAGGTTTGTCCACTGTTCTGGATTCACATCATTACTTTTTGAACTGCTGCAGCACGGATTGCTGTCTTCTAAGTCGCCTGACTCTTGCATCGAATTTATCTTGAGTAGATCCCGGTGGTTTTGAAGCTGATGTTGGTCTCGTTTTAGCTGCACACTTGCAGCACTCCTCTGCTACATCTGGAAAATCAAGCTGGAACCTTCCACAAACCACACTAATAATCTTGTCTCGTTCATCTTGATCTGCTGCCTGAGTCTTCTTGGATGTTTTACGCTGTTCCTTCTTTAGCTTCCTCCGGAACCAAATAACCAGGGGGAGGAGAATGGCGGAAAAGGGAATGAAGAAAGGCTGTGTTTCGCTGTACTCCTGGAAGAAGATTTTATTAATGTCCATTGTCATGTCGGGAAACTAAACAGCTAGTTATTGCGGAAGGAAGGAGATGTCGATTAAAATATTTTCGCTAATTATTTGAATTCATCAAAATATGACTCTGTTAAATCGAGGTTTGATTGATAGAAGCAAATATTTGTTTAACTTATTAGTATCCTACCTTAATTGTAGACATTTAAGCCTAAGAAATGTCGAAGACCTCTTTAATTTAGTTTAAACTTAGGGATTTTGCTTTTAAAAAGTTAAAAGGAACAAATGACGCGCACTTGCTGTTATTTGTTTAACAGGTTGGATTCGTTTTGACTTATAATGTTTCCTAAATTTTAGAGCAGAGCAAAGTTATTATATTGTCCCATTATCTGGAAATTAAGAGTCTGGAAATCCTGAGCTATTTATTCCGACGAACCTTAAGCAACTCGCTTCTGGCATACTTCCACTCAACGTCACAGTTATCTTGGATCCTGTCGAAGGTACTGCTGAGAATTCCAATAAGCATGTTGAGCAGCAGTACGCAGGAAAGCAAGATATAGAGAACCAAGATAACGTTGACAAAATTTATTGTTGACGGATCGAATGGCTTTGTCACCTTCTGAAAATATATTGAATTATAATGATATGACAAAGTTTATGGTTTGTTTAACCGGGTGGTCTTAGTGCTAATAGTTTAAACACTGCTTAGTATAAGTTTTATCTTAAAAGCAGTGTTATTAAATTTCAATTTATTATTATTATTTATTAGAATTTAACAAATTGTAATATCTATCGTAATATCTTCTTGTTTGATGTTTAACGCTAGATTCCCCTGACAGACTCAGACGGACTTGATTTGAATTTTTAAAACATTTCTACTGGCAGAACTTTATTTTTAACTGTAAAAATAATTCGATAACTTATAACTTACCGATACATCAAAAAGACCAAATGTAGACCACATAATACTTGTTACAGTGGCAAGAAAACTTTGAAATGATGGCGGGGGATTAATATCTTTTACATTTTCACAAAATATAGAACTATCATTCAATTCTGTTTCTTTGTCTATCATATCACCAAAAAATTTCAAGAGTAATTCATTTGTCCACAAGAAGTTAGCCTGATGATCTTTCAACGTACTACATAGATCATTTACGTTTCCGATCAATTTTTCCAATGTAACACTCATGGAGTAAATCGTTATGGATGCTCCAAAGATAGTCGTGAAAAGTAGGACCGAGAACTTCAAAACATCAAGCAGCAGGTATTTCAAAGCGATCATCATTGGGCCCATTGATCTGGTTACTTCTAAAAGAGTTAGCAGTCTGAGGAAAAGAATGAATTCTGCCACTGCGTACATGTAGCTTATGTTCAGAAAATGTTGGTAGCGAATAACCATCATCGCAAATTCCTTAATATAATCGGGTAAATAATATATGGGTCGTCCGTTGTCTCTAACGGAAGTGAGGTTAGTGAAGAGTAGCTCCGAATACTCATAGTCATAGTAATAATGATAGCGAAAATCATGATCATATGTTTTAAAGATATATCCTTTATAGAGAGCTGAGATTACTACGAGCAACAATATTAGACAGTCCGCCTGGTTCCACACATTTGCAAAATACCTTCTCCATCCTTGCTGAACAGCGACATCGAGTTCAATGAATATTCGGGATAGAACACAGACATATAATGCTTTCTCCAATGGGGTGATTTCGTCAATTGATTGTTCTATGAGACAAACACAAATTAAGATAAAAAGAAATGCAATGTAGTTTAATGTATCTGTGATGAAGCATAGAAAAGGGGTGAATTTCAACCTGAGCAGAGATACGAAACTGGAATCCATGACTGGGACTCCCCTCCAGACATCGAAAAAGAGGAACTTCAGCAATAATGGCAAAAACAAAAAGGGGCTGAAAAAGTATTCTATTGCTATAACAGCTTTTCCGTGGAACATCTTGTTGGCAAGTTTTCCATACCAACGCCCATTAATGATCTGCTGACAAAACGGGTGGGACACAAACTTCTTTTTCTTGAGATCTATTGCCATTGTAATCAGATCAACTGGGGATGTAAGGATTTCCCTAGCTTCCCACATCCTGTCAATATTGTTCAAAAATCTGCAGGCAAAATCATTGGCATCCTCAATCAGTAGCTCGAACTCAATTTTAAATTCATCCCTCACATTTTGAATGTTAGCAATATCTTTGCCAACATCAAATGCGGATTTTATCGGACACCTGCACATCAAGTACACGTCATCGGACAAGAGAAAGGTGAGAGGTTTGACACTGTACGCCATATCCCCGTAGCCCTGTAACTGGTCCTCTGAAGTGATGTATTTCAGCAGTGACGTCATCTTCACAACCGCCGCTCTCAAGTTAGCGCCTGCAAGCAAAAGTGCATTAATGGCCTCTCTATCGCTCCTGCTAGCAGCCACACTTAGAGGAGTATCCCTGTCTTTGTTAGCATGGTTCGGGTTACCTCCGTAATTCAATACTATTTTCACCATCTTACTGTCAACTCGGGCTGCCATTATGAGAGGGGTATCTCCGTTCTTTGCTTCACGGTTAGCTAGATTGAATTTGGAGTAGTGCAATGGAGAGCACCCTATTCTGGGAACTATATCCACAACATGGCCTCTATCTGCCAGTGTACTCTCCACTCCCGCATGCTCACCAGACCGTATGCTCATGAAGAGCATATCTGAGTCGTCGTGAAGATAATTGTCCATGCTAGAAACCCCGCCAAAGTTACTTGGAAGTCCCAGATCAGCTGTGCTGGAGTATGTCATGTCTGGCGGGTCTGCTACAGTGGGGTATACACTTGGAAAGGGGTTACCGTTTTCTCCCATCTTCTTTCACCTGTTCAGCTGATGAACATGAAGTAACCACTGTAAATTAGCAACCGAACAAATTTCAAACTGTAACCAAATTTTTGTTCGAGAAACAAAAAGCGTAGTAACTAAATAGTGTAGTGAACGAAAATGTGTCTTTTAACTGTAGTCAGTGCAGCACGAGCAGTTGAATAATTCATGCTTATTTTGTTGCAAGCAATGCTTGCCGAGCGTCATTGTTAACTCGTCGCTTTGATCTCTTTTCGATCCAAAACAGATTTCCGAACATTATTTGATATTCCCCTCCTGCCTGTTTTCAAACCAATTGCCTTAAAGTTATGGACAGGGATCGTTCTCATATTGCGTAAATTGGGGGGGGGGGGGGGGGGGGGGGGGGGGGTTTTTTGGTTTTGGGGGTAAGGTTTTATATCTTGTTTTATACCGACTTGGGACATAATGCTAGCTGCGTACAATAAAAGAGATCTCCCCATTGCCTTGCAGTTCCACGCTTTTAGTTTATCGTGGCGATTGACGCATTGAACTTTATTCATTCTTCGGGATCTTAGTGCGATTTTCCTTGCGCTGTTTCTCAATAATTTTGGTGTATTCATACGCATTCGTGTGTTTCATATTGGACTATATTGATCTTTAAGATTGTTGATCTTGGTTTGTTACTCTGTAACCCACTGAGGAAGTTTAGTAAGATTTATTTGTACATGGAGTTTTAAAGCGCGAGTGAAATTGCCACGAAATTTGAGCAGTAAAAAGGGATATTATATTTTTAGAGCAGGCAATGGCTTGGAGGTGGTGCATAATTTTTTGAAACATTGCGCCAGTACCTGTTATTTCATTGCTGCAAGCTTGAATGTTCAACTCGCAGTAAGTTAGTCAAACCAACGTTAGCTACCTACCTGAGATAAACCAATCGAACAGTCGATGTTTTACATGCATTTCATTAATTTACTTAACCTCCATAATTTCTGTCTAATACCGCCTATCTCATTTGGTAGTTATTGAGATTAGTGTACTTAAGGTGTGTTTCCCTCGATACCCATTTATTTGACGGAGGCAGCGCTGATTAGCTACGATTAAAGAGTTACCGTATACCAGCAACTATGAACAGCACCCCCACATACCCCTTCTTCTTGCACTCTCGTCACAATTCTCTGGGTCCTAACCTGCCTGCAGACACCCTATTGGCAATCCTAAATTCATATTCTGTTGATTGTTACAAGTTTAATTTGATATGGGGAAGAGTAAAGTATTTGTTTATAATTTATACGATACTGTGCTATTTCCATTCCGGTTTATTTGAAAAATAGAGCTGAGTCAAAATTGAATTTAAAGTATTTCACTGATAACCGAAAATTGGTTCTGGAGAACAACAATTAAATCTAAATTAAAATAAGACAATGAACAGATTTATTTTTACTGGCACTGAAAGGTCACGTGGAAACTGAATTGACATTCGGAAATCGACAGCTAATTTTTTGATCTGCGTCTGAATCAAAAAAATTAAATGTAAAATTTTGGCATCTCATGGCTTTATTTCATTTTGAGAGCAATATATATAATTGGTATTTAAAGCGTACTATTGAGTTACTGCACACACAACGTCAGGCGAACTGTTTTAAGACCGTAAATAACGAAAAATATAATTTGTGTTACATAATCGAAAGAATGTTTTATAAAGATAGGTTGAGCACAGATACAAATATTCACAACTACATCCATTAAAGGATTTCATAAAAACCAATGGTAATAATATTTTCTATCCGGGTTCTAAAATTTAAGACATGAGGACTGCTGTTACATTGCATAATTGAATCTTGAATTTCATTGAACCCAGATGAAGTGGATTCAAATAGACAAACAAAAATTCAGCTTTGATTAAACGGTGTGTTAATCGTCTAAAAATATCATCACGAACTGTTTGAAAGTAGATTTTATCCATACGATTATAATACTATGACACGCAAATCCGGAAATGTTAAATTATTTTAGATTTGTAAATCCGAGAAGAAGGTTATTAAGTTATTAGCTCTACACCTTATTCGTGAAACAATTAAAACGCCAAGAATTGAAATATGGTGCCAATGCAATACCGATACTATTTTTAGAGGACAGTTTTTCAGAGGTCACAATATATTAATTAATTAATATCTATACAACTGCCTATTCCCATAATGCTAATTTCAGTCTTCAGACAAAATGATTAAGTGTGAAACAATAAATAGTTATTCACAGTCTTACATTTACCGTTTACAACTGTTAGGAAATATTTAATTAATAGCCTTTCGAAGACAAATGTATAAATAATAAAAATATTGATGAGAGACGGACAGTTGCTGATCAACTTTAACCAACTCAATTTCGATACTGGAGGAGAATTTTAATGGCTGACCCACTAAAATGTACATTGATCATCTGATTCTAATGAGTGGTTATCCTCTTATCTGCAGATACTATCGAAATGAAATTGATTAAAACGACCAAATAGTATTTATACCCGATTGGGATCACCGCCATTCGCTTTAGTTGTGAAAAAATACGATAGGATTATTTTTAAATACGCCGTATTTTTGCGTATTTTTTCGTATGAAATTAAATTACGTCAAAAATACGTTAAATACGTTTTCCTTGTTTTTCTTGAAATTGCCATTCAAATCTATAGTTATGTTATTCGTTTGCAATTTTTTCAGACAATTTCTGTTTACTTCTAGTTTTATAATGTTATGACGGTCGGTATCGACACGTGGGGTTGGGCGACATATGACGCCCCAGACAATTCCCTCACACCACATTTTTACTAGTGTGGAAATTTCAATGATCTCACCGATACTTGTTCAGTTCATTAACTTCCTTCTAACTTCAGATTCACAGATGTTTACACAATTATCAGGACTGATTAGCCGTAATATTAAACAGTACAGTTTTTTTCTTGAAACTTTAAAATTCTACGATGGAGGATGTTCACTTTTATCAGCCTGTACGGCGCTGATCACAAGCTTCATCAAGCGAAGCATGAAAATATTTAACCATCAATCATATGAGTTTATCTTCATCGATCAAGGATGTTGCCATTCATGGCCAACAATCGGGTACGTGATCAGGAATGCCTTTGAAACTTTAAGTCATGTGTTGCGACTGAAATAAAAACAATGAATTAGGAGCAATGTTGAAACGCAATAAATTTATCAAACTAGTTAATTAACTTTTTGTTATATGTATAATGCTCCTGCTTGTCTAAACTTGAGATTTATAGGAAAAGCCAGAACAAAAACTACATGTAATTATTATTATATCAAATCTAAACTATGTAGACTGTGTTTTGTCTAGCGCAAAATATGTCTGAACAATGTAAATAGCTATTGAATAAAAGTTGCCATTTCTGGGCACCGACGGGGAATCGGGGATATTTTAAAGGGCAGGTCTTCAACACTCCACGATCACATGTATGAATAATTAACCCAAATATATTAGACTTAAGTCACGGTAACTATCTACAAGTTGGAAATGTGAAAATAGCAGTATAATTACGCTTAAAGATAACAGCTGAAATCTATGATTGAAACACATGAAGTTATAGACGTTCAAACGAAACTAGTGAGCTGACCGCATTTTATGAAAGGAAAGACTAGTTAGTCCTGTATACAAACAAATATGTACTAAGGAACTTGTACATTAACTGGACGCCCGTCATATTCAGATGTGACAAAACTCACTAATTTCGGTGTTACGCCACTAAGAAAATGAGTTTGCTCATTAACAAGTCCTACGGAACTACATATTTACATAATGAACAATTTGAGATCTGAGAAATAACAATGTAAAGATCTGATAATTTAGAGGCACTGATAGACACGCTCATGTGTACAATAAATAGTTCAAATTTTAGTTAAAGACGAATCTGCTTCCAGTTGTGTCTTGGTCGTAGTACCCTCTTATTTCAGTCAACAGTGTTTAACACAGTGCAGACCTCGTAATTTTAAAGTTTCCTGCAATGTAGACTACCACCGTTTATTAACAAATGTACAGAGTGTGTTAAAAGAAAAGCTAGAAGAGTACTACTACAAAACTATAAAGTATTAAATACCGTACATGCTTAATGTTCAACAAAATCGAGGACATTATGCGAGATCACCGTTTAGTATGCCAAACAACTATCGAGTATCGAAACTATCTTAGATAGACACTTGAACTCTTCGGACTAGCCATTTTATAGCTACTTTAAATTATTTGTCTTTATTATAATATAGTATATACTACAGTACAATTGGAACTTTCTGTGGCTCACTGATGGATAATTTAATTGGAGATATTTGAGACCTAATTCGGTCCCACATTATTTACTGCTGTAACCTGGGCTAACGAATGTAAACATTTCAAGAGCAGCTCTGCTTTACATGGACCAGCTTATAAATTTCTCTGCCTCCATTGTTATGTAAATTAATAAAATACGATTAATCAAAAATTACCATGGACATTCTCTATAGCAAATGAATCCTTAGGTACGCTCTATATTTTTAGCACTATATCTTAACTTACACTTGTTATTATATGATGTTTAAGACTCAACTTCAGGGTGTAAAGATCAGTACAGCAAAAAACAGTACCGCTCATATCCATAACATGCCCGTAATCATTAGTGGATGGAATTGCTTGTCAGTCTGTAGAGTAAAACCCACAAGGCAAAATTTCTTCGTATTTAAATTCTAAGCAAAGAGAAACAGTTAAACAAAGCTTTTGCAAGTAGTCAATGCTATTTGCCGGCATTACAAGCCTGCGTTCCTCAAGTTAGTCCGTTAGCTACTTATCCCATTATGTAAGTAGGAGTAAGGTCTTCAGAAGGGGTCACGAAATTCCTCTCGAACATCCAAGTGGGTGTGGCATGGTTGGCAATAACGGGTGGTGTGCTCTCTGTTGTGTACTAAGGTTGGGCGACTTGCCATCTCAAGTTCCCATAGGAACCAGAAGTGCAACACTTACAGCTACCTAGCACCTGGAAAATTTTTCTTTCAGATATTCGGTTACAAGATAATACACAACAAACGAACGTTACGTTTGACACAGATACCTAGATCTAAGAGCTATTAAATCACCAGGTAATTCTCTTCAGCTTTCAGGTTCCTTCGAAGTCACCCACACAGACTAGGGATTC